TCAGGAATGGAGGGACAGTCCTCTGCACACATGGATGCAGAAACCATGTCATTGTAGTGAGTGTGACAGAGACGATGGCGGCTACAACCGAGTGTAACAGTGTTTGTGGCTGTGCAAAGGAGAAGGTCGCAGAGTGTTGGTACATTGTCTTGCTGCAGCACGGGGCCAGAGGAATGATCTTCGACATAAAAGAAATTGCGGACTGTTTGTTGTGGCAAGAAAACAGCATCATTTTGTAAGCAATCAGTACCATCTGTCACGGCATGGACCATGGTGCTGTTGTCCCACAGCTCCCAGTGGTCAGAGGCATGTACAATGGCCATGTAATGGCCAGGCCCGTTTACAATGCAGGCAGAGATGTGGGATGGAGGATTAAACCACTCACCTGCTCAAGCATTGCGTAGTTCAAGTTAACGGTACCTCATTGCTACTTGTGTAGGACAGCAATGGTAAAGCCTCCTCGCTCGTATAATTATAATCGTCTAGCTGTAGTTGGGGAAGATCAACATCAAGCTGCAGAGCAATTGCAAGGAAGTCTGATAGTGTATAAAACGGGCGGTGGAGAATGTGAAGACAGATATTAGTTGCCGTCAGACCACAAAGATTGGTGAGGTTCTCAGGCTGGTTTGTTGGATGCTGGCCAACAATTTGCAGATCACCCAGACAGTGTTGCAAGCCCAAACTGTGTTGGGTTGTTTCCTGGTCAGTCATTTGCAGATCACCCATGTGGTCTGCGCGTGGCGGAGCACAAATTTATGGTTCATCCGAACAGTGCTGGTCAGCCATTTGCAGATCCCCCATGTCGTCTGCGCCTTGTGGGGTCAACTGCAATCCGGGCAGATCATGTTCCAATCCCTCAAAGTTGCATCCTGAGTAGGGACGGTCCCTGGAGTCGGGAGTGTACTCTGGGCAGGGACCACATCGTGTTGTACAGGCGTGAGTATCTAACGCCGCAGGGTATAAAACATGGTGCCGTGGCTGCCTGCAGGCAGCTGTCAGGAGGCATAGGAGCGGATATTGCCGTTTGAAACAAATGAACCGCAACAAACTGTGGAGGAGGCACAGAGAGAATAGGGGCAGACAAAGAAACAGGTTGCTGATCCACGGACAAGTGACGGTGCCGCGAATGCCATCGGCGATACACAACAAGAGGAGTACTGGTGTTGCAAACAGAAAATGAACTTGTCCCTAGCAATGAAGGTGGAACAATGGGAACAATGGAAACTGGAGAGTCTGTTCGCAAGTGAGACCATGGAGGAGACGGGGCTGGCGAGGAGGAACGCAGCCGTCTGCGGCCGAGCACAGAAAGAGATGAGAGGGGGGTGGATTAGGCAAGATTTCAAAATAAAGGACGTGAGTGTTGGAGAGACCGTGATGTTCTTTGCACTGGAGCTGCAGGAGAGGAAGCTGTAGCAGTAAAAACTACACTAGGGGGATTTACAGTTATGGAAACTGCTTTACTGAAAACTGCAGCAGTGGAAAGTTGGAAACTGCAGCAGTGGAAACTGGAGCAGTAGATAAACTGCAGGAGTGGAAACTGCAGCAGTGGAAACTGTGGTAGCATTAGATGAGCAAGCTGGAGCAGGATGAGAGCGTCGTGGGGGCGAAGACGAAATTGGATGATACATGGACCATCACAGCATGCGTCAAATACCATCAAACAGAGCTGCCCAATAAACTGTAGGGAGAGAGGGAAAACAGGACAACAAACGAGGGGCTGTGACAAACTGTTTCGTCGGAGTTTCACCAACTCATCAGGAGGCTGAAATATATAGAAAAGGCCTGTTGTCTGGTATACTGATAATTCGGCAGGGGCCTGCACACCACTGCAAGTTTGGCCTTGCTCCCAGGTACAGCAGAAAAGCGAAATTGGAAGCCGGGTAGAACTGCAATTTCCCCCAAAAGATGAACAAAAAGCATCCAAAGCGAAGGCCTAACCATCCTGCACCGTGCAGCCGGCGTGCACACGACATGCGCCACATCGGCAAAAGTAGGGGTCGTAGAAAGAAGAAAGTTTCCAAAGGGGTACCAGAGAAAAAAAGAATCTGTGGCCGCAAATTTTTTTTTTCAGGCCGCGTGCAGGACCAGAAGAAATTTTCTCGGACCTCCCCTGTGCCGCAGGTGTCCAGCCCGGTAGTACGCCGACCCGGCCGTTGCTCTCTCTCTCTAGTTGGCGGCTGCCGTGTGGTCCGTTGTTGTCATCGTTCGTGCCAGCTTTTCAGCAGCGGCACCAACAATAGCTCGAGCACAAAACAGGAGGCACCCGAGGCAGCTCGAGGACGACAGAGTAGGCAACTCTCTCTCTCTCTCTCTCCACCGTCGCTCTTCCCTCCTCCTTCCTCCCCACCCTCCTTCGTCGCTTGACCCTCCTTTGTCATCTTCTTCTTCCACACCTAAGTCTATCCTGTCCCTCCTCCACAAGTCACCTTACTTCTCCTCACTTCCATCCTCCTTCCTCCCCTGCATCACCTTTCTCCTTCGTCACCCTCCTCCCTCCTCCTTTCTCTCTGCTCCTTCCAGCCCCCATCTTTCTCTCCTTCGTACACGTCATCATCCAAGCACCTTTTTTTCTTCCTTATTGCATTCGTGACAGGGGTTTCCACTCTGCGTGACACCTCCACCCCTCCCATCCTCCACGTATCACCTTGCCACTCGTTCATCCCTCCTCTCATCATGTCCTTTCGCCCTCCTCCTTCCTCCCTTTGTCCCTCCTCTGTGCAGCATCTCACTTCTTCTCACTTCCATCCTCCTTCCTGCCCCGCATCACCTTTCTCCTTCGCCACCCTCCTCCCTCCCCTTTTCTCCCTGCTCCTTCCACCCTCCATCTTTCTCTCTCCCTCGTACATGTCATCATCCAAGCACCTTTTTCGTTCCTTATTACATTCGTGATAGAGCTTCCACTCCACGTGGCACCTCCACCCCTCCCATCCTCCCCGTGTCACCTTGCTACTCTTTCATCCCTCCTCCTCTCATCATGTCTCCCGCTTTCCTCCTCCCTTTCTCCCTCCTCCTTCCTCCCTTTCTCCCCCCTCCGTGCAGCACCTCACTTCTCCATCCTCCTTTCCCCCTCCTTTGTCAGTCCTTCCGCCATTTCACCATCCCTGCATTGTTTTTTTTGGTTCTTATTATGTTTGCGACAGGGCTTTCCACTCCATGTCGCATCTCCACCCCTCCCATCCTCCACGTGTCACCGTGCTACTTGTGGTTCTCCTTCATCAATCCTGCCTCCTCCTCTCTCCCTCTTTCTTCGTCCATCTCTCCCTCCTCCTGTCTCCCTCTTTCTTCGCCCATCTCTCCCTCTTCCATGGACCTCCCATCCACCATGTGCACGGGATCTCCATTCCTCCCTCCGCTGTGCACAGTCCTGCTTCTCCACATCCTCCTGCCTACCTCCTCCTTTCTCCCTCGTGCGTCCTGCCTCCTCCACCCTCCGTCCTCTTTCCTCCATATCTGTGTCCTCCATGTCTGTTCCTCTTTCCATCTCCCCTTCTTCCTTCATCAAGGCACATTGCTCCATCAACACACCTTCGTCCATCCTTCATCCTTTCTCCATCCACCATCATCCATCACACGTCCTCCCTCCATCTCTCGTCATTTCTCCATGCACCATCCATCACACATCCACCATCCATATCCCCTTCTTCCTTCTGCCATCCATCCGCGCACACACACACACACACACATGCACCATCCATATCCCCTTCTTCCTTCTGCCATCCATCCACACACACACACACACACACACACACACACACACACAGAGAGAGAGAGAGAGAGAGAGAGAGAGAGAGAGACCCTGCTTTCCACAGATTGAAACACACGGAGGAATCATACAAAAGCATAGATAGGCTGATAGCGTCTTAAAATTAGAAAAAAAAAAAAGACTGCACACCTGCATGCCCCCCGGGGGCTTGCCACACAGGTGCACACGCACTGGTGCACAGGGCATGGCCGGGCCACACCGCACATGCGCAACGCACAAATGCACTGCAAGTATGGACAGAATGTTTACACGCCACCAGGAGCTCCAGCTGCTATACCACTCCAACCCACCCAAAAGAGTCCAAAATCTTGGTCCACTGAATCGCACCCACGATAAAGTCCTCTGAGCTTGTCCACAGGAGTGTGCGGTTGTGCACATGCTAACATAGAGAAACCAACAACACAGCGGGGGCTGCATAATTCAAGAAAAAAATCCTTAGGCCCAAATCACAACACAAACCAAGCTCAGCTATATCTGTAGTGGTGCTGAACACAACACATCACAGCAAGGAAACGTAACAGGAAAGGATGAGAAAATGAGTACCGCACATGATCAAGCTCAGAGGCACCAAGCTACTCACAACCACCTGGTTCTTTTCCTGTAGGCATGAGAAAGTGGCAATTTTCTTAAACCACCACCACCTTTCAGGGTGGGAGGCTAAGTCATAGAAGTAACCTATACTGCATTCTTTGGAGGTAGGCAGAGGCTGGGCGCAACCGGACCACAAAGGCTGGGGGCGCTAGCCAACAGAAAACAAAAACACCGCACTGCCACTTCGGCCCCCAGTTGGTGTGCAGTTCGACTCCACCTCGGCAAAAAGTGGCTTGGAGGTAGTGGTCGTTTAAGGTTAAAAAAATAACTGCAATCACATAGGCCACAAGACAGCTACACTTGAGAAGTATTATGGCCAGAAGACTTCGTCTGGACGGGCATCAGACGCTGAAAGCAGATCGTGCACCCTGAACAGGATAGGCTCTGCAGAGCAAAATGCACAGCAAGCACTGCAGCAAGTACTGCAGCAAGCACTGAAAGGGCAAAGGAAAAACAGATAAACCTAAAAGCAAAAAAAACGGACGAGTTGAAGAATGTGTGATGACGTGATGGAGAGCAAGCACAGGCATAGAGCACAAGAGAGACACTGGGACAACAACAGTGAGCAAAAGGCGACAATGTTTGCAGGCAAGGTTAGCCACATAAATGATGTCACCTCGAAGGGAAAGGTAGGAACCGTACTCACAGTGTGCCACCAGAGCTGGAAGTGTGGCAGATATAACACAGATGGTGAGCTTCGTCGAGCCTCTACAAATATTCGAACCAGCGCCTCTTCTGGCATTTTCGCACTTGCATCTGCTAGCAAGGATGGCAGCCCCAATGAATGCACTGGAAACTGCTCCAACTTGTGCAGCATCGCTGGACCCAAATAATCCTGGAAAAACATTTACAAGAATAATTAAATCACTAGATGACCCGTTGCGGCTTCGCCCGCAAAAACAGAAAAGTAAAAAGCACAACAGAAAGAAAACGCATAAGGAACTGCCCTATCATATGCCTTTTCTTTCACAAAAACAAAAAGAAGAGCCTGAGAGCAGACAAAAATCCGCGTGCAAGAAATAGGAGGGAATACCACCGAACCTGTTTTGTTTCTTTATCTACGAGTGTTTTGTTTGGGAAGCCGATACCTTTGCAGCATCATTTTTTTTTTGTGCCGTGCAAGAACTGTGAACTTTTATAAGAAAATCCTGTCCGTTGTCCCGTTGACGTTTTTGCTAAAGATTCCGATTCAGACTTTTGTTTGCTATGTCTCTGAATATGTTTGTGATAAAGCGATTGCATGTATGCCCCGTGCTTACTTGCCGAGTTTTGACTCTATGTGTGCAAGTGCATGCGCGTGTGGGTGAGTCTCAGTTTGGTCGGCTCCAAAACTCGTGTGTGCAAGTGTATGCGCGTGTGGGTGAGTCTCAGTTTGGTGGGCTCCGATGATGTCATTGATGATTGGCCCGGGGAA